TGCCTTATCCGATGCATTATTGTCACCCTCATCCCTCGCCTGGATATCGGCTTAGTCGTCTTGGGCCACAACCTTCTCGACATGGGTTAATATCCCTCGCGGAGGAGCATTCTCATCAGGCTTCGCACCTCGAGGGAATTCATCATAAATTATAAATATCCCCCTAGGAAATCCTTTCCGACGTCAAACTTGAAGTCATCTAGGACGTTGCAGAAGTAGAAAGCCTGACAAACGGCATGTTGAAAGCCAACATCGTGCTGCGCAAGAATCTTCTTGGTAGTGTCTGCCTTCTTCTTGGCAATCGATTCCTTTAAACGATCAATTTCACTGGTTTCTGCATTCGCCTTGGCCTAAAGCTTCTGAACAGTTAGCTTCAAGCCATCTGCTTCCCTCCGGTGCACATCTGAAATCTTCTTCAACTCAGCCGACGCGATGATCTCGACATTGGCTGCCAGTTCTTCTTGTAAGTTCCTCTCAACCTCCTTCAACTGACCTTGAAGCCTACCCTCTCCGATTGTCTGCCTCATCATCATGTGTTTAGCTACCAACGAGGTCCGAATGTCCAATTTGCAGAAAAGCTTGTACTCAGCCTCAAAAGACATACCATCCAAATATTGCAACCCACCACCAGAAGTGATATCCAGGCTGACAAGGTTCTTGGCCTGGGTAGAAGGTACAAAGAAGTTTGACCCTGCCACCACTTCGGGCACGACAAATGCACCTGCTACTTCAAACGCTTCGTAGATGAGCTTGGATGATCAGTGTCATCAGTCGGGTCAGAAAGCTTCCTCCGACTTGAGCTTGTTTTCTTTTTCTTTGGATCAGATTTTGGAATTGGTGCATTAGCCAACTTATCCCTTAAAATCCACAAGGCAAAACGAGTTGGAGGCACCTTCCCACTTGCCTTGGCCGCGCTTACCCGGCGAGCAAGCATAGCGGTCACATCCATGTCATCATCAAGCCCAGTCGTCATTCCTACAACAAAAATGAGTTAACATCAATATAACATGGACTATTATAACTGAATCCACAATAACATACCTAGAATGTTAAGTTCTATGTTGCAAGTGTCAAAAATATCTAAAAGGCCTCGGATAGGCAAACCCTTCGGTAACTTATCCAGGAAGCTAATAATTGTTTGGTCTTCGGCGGTGAGACCTGAGGAGGACATAGCTTCAAAGCGCGTCGGGGTGCTTGTCCAATAAAAGGGGAATAAATTCTCTCGTTGACAGTCCACAAAAGCAATTTCTCATATCCGATCCCCACTGTATTTTGAAGAAATCACTCTTGAAACCCTTGTACGAGGAGGTGAACGCCCTCAAGAACCCCTGCTTAGGCACTCGAGCTAAGGAAACCCACTTGGTTAGCTTGTTGGGTCGACATATGTAGTAGTACAAGAAGGAAAGGGGTCGAGGAGTGATGTTCAAACAAAGACACAGGTTCCTAAACGCTTGCATAGCCGCCCAAGATTTTGGGTGTAGTTGGGTCGGCGCAACATTCAATACTCGTAGCACCCCTATCTTAAAGTCATCCAATTGCAACTTTACTTCTAAATCCCGAAACCAACACGAGTAGGCGTAGGAAAAATCATCTTCCTTGGGCTTACGCTTGAGACATACAAAGTCTGTGTTCGGACCCTTGTCATTACATGCCTTCCCCACTCCCAAAGCTCCTTCCCCACTCACAAAGCACTTCTTGAACTTCACAAATTTATCCAATAGACCCTAATCCAAAAAGAAAGAAAAGTATATTTCGACTTCACCGTCCACCCACTCATACTTAGGCATCTCGAGGGTCCCATACTCTATTTTGACTCGGACTCGTTGGTCGACCTGCTTCACCACGAACTCCTCTGCATCACCATTGTCATGCTCGGCATGTTCGGGGACCTCGTTGCCCCTCACCTTGTTGCCCCTCAACCTAATTGCTTTTGGAGAAATCACCTGCCCTATATCATCCTCGTTCGAAGAACCCGTCCTTTCTAGGTAATCCGAGGGGAACAAAACCTCGCACTGTAGGGACTGTTGGTTTGAGTCGTTGTTGAAACTAGAATCTCTCTCTCCCAATGTCGACCTCGACGCGCTCGACGAAGTCCAGCTCCTAGCCAAAGGGTTTTCGCCGTCCGTGTAGGCCAAACTACAAATGGAATCAAATGCTCACCTTAATCGGTTACCTCGGCCGCTCTCAATTAAAACTCAATGCTAAAAAATTTTACAACGGGTAAAAACCCCAACACCCATCGCCTATTTATAGGCAAGGTAAAAAGAAGGTGAAAAGACACATCAAGTTTCCAATCGTTGGATCCCAATCATCGAAAGGTCCAGATCCTGTGACCGTTGAACTCTCAACCACTCCTGCAAGACAAGGGACAGCCACTACACGCAACGTGGTATGTCATCTCAATAATAACTGACCACAAGTGTTCGGCTGCCCTCGAGAGCAAACCCCTCTCCTTAGTCAATCACCATGGCTTTGGGAATAGGGGCCTCAGCATGGTCAGCTCATAGATAGACCAAAGCAACCACATCGTAATCTAATGGTATCATCTTTGTCCTTATAGTCCTCGACGTTGTGGGGGTTGTATACTAGAAGGTAGCCGACTCGACCGAGTACAGCCAATGCGGCCGACTTGGTCGAGTACATCAAAGGCAGTTAACCTGGTCGACTTGGTAATATTAGGATCAGTTGACTCGGTCAACAGGATCGACATACTCGACGATGCAGAATTAGGCCATGTGAATTAAGATGAGATTAATTTACATAATAAACCGGTTTAATCCCCTAATTTTTTGGGGCCCATTCCCTAATCACGGTCCAACTATAACTAGTATAAATAGACCCTGAATAAGGTACGTAACTGATTCTGAACTACCACATTTAATATGCCGATCACTTATTGACTTGAGCATCAAAGTATCTTTTGCAGGCATCCCCCTCCTCGGACTACGCAGAGTGGAATGCGAAGGCCTCGACCGAGAATCAAGACCATGGTAATTCAGTGATAAGTAAGGTGTGCCTCCTAATATAGGAACAGAGGAGATTTTCAGACGATGGGTGTGGCTAAAAACGGCATCATGTGTTAGTTTGTACGATTGTCAACATAGGCCTTCAATGGTTTGTGATATTGTTGACGTGAAAAGAAAAAAAAGAGAGTACATTGTATGTAGTGAATAAAAAGAGAGAGGGAAAATGAGACCTAAACTTTTGATACCTTATTAGGTTTGATGAAATGTATGTTTAAAGTATTGACCACTCTTTCAATGACTTATTTAGAATCCCTAATTTTTAACTATACAATATTAACATACAATAAGTGCTAGAAATATACTTCTATTAATACACTCATTCATATTAGTTAAATTTTTTGAAAATCATAAAATTATGAGGAAGAGAGTCATTAAATAATGTGAGACCCGTTAAAATTTATATTTTTTTTGATAAATATGAACTAATAAGAAGTATGTTTAAAAGAGTATGACATAAAATGTGTTATTAGTATTTGTTTTAACATATTTACTTATTTACATAAACATAAAATCATGTTTAAATATATATATATATATATATATATATATATATAGAGAGAGAGAGAGAGAGAGATCTGTTTACTCTAAGAATAAGTCTACCTAGATTTATTCCGTTCAATAACTCATGTTTTACATCAAATTGCAACGATCCAACCATTGAGTTTAAAGTTCTTAATGCATAGATTAAATTTGTAAATTTTTAAAAAATTTAAAAACCATTTGATACTTCGTTTCATTAATTCAAATCAATGTATAAAATGATTTTATGATTATCCGTCAATTTGAATTAATGAAATGAAGTATCAAATGATTTTCAAATTTTTTAAAATTTTGTAAACTTGATCTATACATTAAGAACTTTAAATTCAACAGTTAGATCGTTAAAATTTGATGTAGAACATAATTTATTGAACGGAGTAAGTCTACGTAGACTTATTCTTAGAGTAAACGGACTCCTCCTCATATATATATATATATATATATATATATATATATAGATAGATAGATAGATAGATAGATAGATAGATAGATAGATAAATAGATAATAAAATAAAGAAAAGAATAAAGATATAGATATGGTTAATGTATGTATGTTAGTCCAATCCTTATGCCCATTAGAAATTTAGAATGATACATAATTCTTCTAATTCTTTGGTTCTCACAAGTTGTATTTGATTGAGCATCTATTATTATACATTTTGGATCCACATTCTTATTGGTCTAATATGTCATATTTTGATTGAGACAAATTTTAAAATTCTAACTCGCCCTAATATTGAATGAACTCAATAGTTTACAGGTTAAATTAGTTTGGGTCAAGTTAAACCACTGAGTTGGATTGAGTTTTACACCACTATTAAGAATTATTTTAGGAAAAAAAGAGCAATATAAGTGGTCAAAGATTAAAGTATAACAATTAACTTATATTTATAATTTAAGAAGTTTTAGAAATACATTTAACTGCACAATTAATGACATTGGACAATAATCTTGGGGAAGACATTTTTTAAGATTTTAGGTGACTAAGAAAAATATAAGAAAATAATTTTCCTTCTGAATTTGACCACTTGGTTCTGAGGAAATTTTAAAGTGTTTTGGCCATGTCTGATCTTACTTAGTGATCCTATTTTGCTAACTATGATCACTAAAATATAAATTATAAATAATAGTTATTGCAACAAAAATGATAAAATATAACACTATTACTTTTATTACATCTATACATCATTCAAAAAGTTTGGATTTACCAAAATTTTTAATATAACTTGTTACTAAATGTGAATTGAAGTAAAATTATCCTAACCGAACACCTAAATGATGTATACTCTAAATACCACTGCACTAAACCAAATTTTATTGTACTGCATAATAATTTCAAATAAAAAAAACAATTATATATATATATATATTTTTTTACTTTTTAATACATTCTATTACTATTATTATTTTTATTTGAAAAACTAAGATGCCTGTCCAACACAAAGTCTATTATATCTAATACAAAAATAAACTACAATGAATCAAACTGTAGGAATTCATTAAAAAAAAAAAATGGGGAGCTCTTGCTAGGAACTCGTCAACACAGACAACTTCTAATGAATTATGAAGCAAGAGAATTATAACACTATTTGCTACAATGCCTGTTCTTTCTAATCTGTATTCCTACATAATGAGCCCAATAAATAATTTGAGAATTGAGACTATTATGCTACGAGTATGACTAAGATCTTCTCTAAGGTTTTAGTCATCTAAAAAAATTATCACAACAGATTTCTGTCTTGCTTCAACTCAGCATCACTCTTAGTTTTGATCCACCACCCATTTCCACATTAGTTCCCCATGTCCTCGGAAATCTTGGTATTTATACATCTCTTGTACTAGGCTGTACCTGACTGCTGCCAGAATTCGGTACTTGCGTTTCTGCTGAACGTTGATTTGGTTGATTTAAAATTCGGTTCACATCTTCAGAAATAATTTCCAACTTATGGAAGTTCTTAACAACATGAACTTCTCTCAGTTCTCTGGCCAAAGACATTTTAACTACATCCATGGCATTCTGATCCACAGTCTTGCACATCTGCCAATACAGAGGAAGAGAGAATTCATATAGATAATCAGCATAAAAATGTTTACCACTCTCTAACATCATGCAGTTATCCTTCATAGAGAAGGCACCACAGATGAAGATTGGTAGAACATGTATTTTACCTCATTATAGAGAAAAACTAATTGCAATCGATCTGGATTGTAATCACATGCAGAAATAGCAATTTCCTCTGAACCTGCGGAAAAGTGGAAGAAATAAATTCAATCTTTCATTAAGGTATGTAGATAGCAACAAAAAATTGTGAGAAAAGTTATTCAAAGAAAAATACTGAAACCCAAAATGCAATACATAGAGAACAACACATGGATACAATATCTGATGCAAAATAGGCAATTTCTAAGGTCTGAACATGAGACGAAGCTAACAATGGATAAGATAGTATAGTATTAGTACCTATTGCTTCAAGTCGGGGTAGTGGATCAATCATTTGTGAGTCAGAATCTCCCAATGTATAACTTGGCATGTTTGTCGCCTTGGATTTACCTTTAAATTCTTCATTTGCCACCGGATTTTCTTTCAAATCACCCTGCAGAAGTTCGTAATGTAGTCAGTTCACAAGCAAGTTAAGCTATTAGTGCTTTAGGGGTCTAATTTGCTTGAATGCAAAGCACCAATGAGCAGATGTTTGTTCTCGATTGTTTTGAAATTTTGTTCATTTAGAAAAAATTCTTGTCCTCCATTCTTGCATCTTCCTAAAGCCATAACCCAACCCCAAAAAAAAATTATAAATAAAACAGCCAGTTTTTTTGTTTTGTATCCTAGCACAATTAAACTACTAGCTTCATTTATTAACAGTATCTCACGCAAGAAAACATCCAATTCAAAAATAAATTCAGACCAACTAACATTTTGAGCCTGAATCCTATGCATTCCAAAGAGAAGAATCATGAGTAATAAAAAGATTTTGTACCATGGAGCACTAATGCACTTACAAAGTATTCTTTCTGATACTCAGCGTTGAGACCTTTCTCCAAGAGAAGAACCCTTCTTTTTATAAAGTCAGCCTGTCTTCTCTGCATATCTTTAAACTGATGCAATATGGAGGTCTTTTGACATAGCTGTGCTTGGTTCCCAGCATTGCCAGAACCATGTGCACCTTCAGCAGCCATGCCACTCACACCACTCTTCTTAGATTGGTTGCAGCTCGATTGCACACTTGTCATATTTGCACCATTAGCTGCTATGTCACTCCTACCATTTTCACAAGATGGGTTGCAGCTGGACTCCACGTTTGACATATTTGCACCATTGTGCACTTGAGAACCAACTTGTCCTTGAACTGGTAAATTTGCACTCGCACCACTCTCCTTAGATTGGTTGCATCTCGATTGCACATTTGTCATATTTGCACCATCAGCTGGTATGTGACTCCTACCATTTTTACCAGATGGATTGCAGCTGGACTCCACATTTGAAATATTTGCACCATTGTGCACTTGAGAACCAACTTGTCCTTGAACTAGTAAATTTGTAAATGGAATATTCAACTCCTGACAGATGACCTTCTGAATGTTCAGATCCTTATCATCAACAATATCATGCCACCTTCCATAGCCATGCCTTAATAGAAAAGAATGAAGTTAAAAGATTACATCAATAAAACTAAACAACAAATGTTACAGCACAGCAAACTACCATCTTTCAAATTCTTTTTCCACAAATTATAAAATAGAATAGAAATACCAACATACAAACACAAATTAAGTAGAAATGTACAATACAAATTTATGTTATTTAGGCCTAGAAGTCTTTCATGGTTAATATCATGCTGTTGGAACATCTTTTTACATTAAATTATATACATTCACAGAGAAAGAGAGGCATTTCTGTAAAAGACACAATTCAATTGACCATGCATACAGGGAAAATTATCTATTAAAAGACATACTTCAACACTGCATGCAACAACACTAAATCATGCTCCTCCTTCCATATCTTTGTACCCTTCAAATTTGCATAGCGTAACAAGATATCATCTGAAAAAAGCGGAGTTTGAGGATTTTCTGATGCAAACTTCGCCTGTCATTCCACATTCAAACATAAAGAAAATATTCATAAGCAAGAGGAAATATTAACAACATACCCTAACCTTTCAACAAAATAAACAGAAAAGCAATAAATTTAATTTAGATGCATAAATTTTAGTTTCTCTACAAAGGAAAAAAAATGTACATATAGAAGTAATATAATCATCACAGATTTCCAGGTATGCATAATAATTTTAAATGAATAATTATTTTAACATGTATTTGATCAACAGTTCAGGATCGATAAAAAGGGCGAAAATATTAATTCTATTCTACCTTGATAGAAAACAGAGAGAGAATAATGGTCAAATTAGCAGTATTCATAGAGTTGACCATTCATCCAGATACTATCCCAATTTTCTTTTAAAATAATGGTCAAACTAAACAGATTTTCATGAATACTCCCTCCAGTCCTTTATATAAGAAACAAATAGCTAATTTATCAAAACAAATAAAAGTAGTTAAGATGGTTAATTTTCATTAATAATGTCATAGAATTAAATTTCATTCCAAAAATACCCTTTGAATTGATTGGTTTAAACAGTGGTAGTCTTAAATGACACTGCACCTAATTTAAGAGATAACTTTTTTAATCAATTAGTGTAACTTGTATTGTGGATGCATTTTTTGTTAAATGCATCAATAAATGCATCCACTTGCATAAGGGTATAAAGGAAATTAGAAATTAATACATCTTAAATTAGTAATTAATACACTTATTTCTTATAATTAGGACCAAAAAGGTGTACTCGTTTGTTTCTTTTATATATAGGACTGGAGGGAATATATATTTGGCATGAAATTTTGCTGGGAACATTATAAGAAAGGAATTCTGGATAAATGAATTTCTAACTTATACATAATTAGACACACAACACAAGTGGTTAATTAAGCGATTGTTTTATTTTTTTAAATGTTGGTAGAATTTTTTTTTTAACTGTAGCACAGGATTGGGATGTGTGTCCAAATTAATCTAAGCTACATATTTTGCATTTATAGGGTGTGAAAATTGATTTTTATCGTAAACCACACTGACCCTAAGTCATGAAGTAGCTACACATTACCCACACTTCTAACATAGTTGAAATTTAAGTAATTAACTGTTCCAGAAGACCAGAACTGTACATATTTTGAAACAATAATTCCTTTGCACTAATTTTTCATGAATTCTTTTATGTTTGGGGTAAAGGGGCCGCAAGAGAGAATAAATAATGCCAAAATAATATACTAAACAAAAGCAATTAAAAGTTTAAAATAAAAAACTATTTGAAGAACTTACTTTGTCCTTTATCAAGAGAAGAATTGCAATCCTTACAAGTACATCTTGTATTCGAAGTCCTTCTTTTGGAACACCATCTACAGACATTATAAGCAGCATTAGAGTTATTAATAGAGATATAGAGAGAAGTTGAGAGAGAGAGAGAGAGAGAATATTTCTGAAGCTTCCAACAGAGATCAGGAGTATAGCAACAGCTTCCAACAGAAGCTATATTTGGCTATAACAGAAAATAATAAATATGACTAAGCACTAACAGACTAAGTAATACAACCGAAAAATATAAGGTCCTACACTACTTCTGTACATGAGAAAAGTAAAGTGTAAAACTATATTCCAATTGGTATGGCTTTGTAGTTATTGTAATTTGTACTTGCTCTTCTCTGTTGTGAATTGGGGCCTTTATGTGAGTGAGAAAGACAAATTTGAGCCATACGAGCATACATGGATGGATAAGATATTTTTTTTATTAAAATTCACATAAGTTTTTAAAAAATTCATGTGACTTGTTAAAAAATACCATAAGTTGTGTGTTTTAATCTTAATCATTGTGAAAAGATCTAATGATCAATATTTATTCTTCTCACTCTCACATAAAAAAATACCCTCTCACTACATACATTCCCAGTGGTCAGATATCAAATATCAGAGATTTCACAAAACCCTCTCTCAACTTTTTCATGCTTTACATTCTCATAAAATCTAACAAGCAGAAAGGGAAAATAAGTAAACTGAAAGCATATGACGAAAAAAAACAAAAGAAACAGAAAGTATCAGAATAATAAGAATCTATTACCAGTGAATGTAGGGGAATCAGTTATTTCTTCCGCAATATGAGACAAGAACAGTTTTCCATACCTGTTCCAAATGTATGTTTATATATTACATTCACTCACATAGAATGCTCAAGGCATGTTATAAATCTCGTGACAGGCAATAAGAGTATCAAATAATGTTTTAAAAATCTATTTCATACGGTACTATAAAAATGATAACAAAATAAATGGATTCTAATTGCCCATTTCAACTCTTGTATAGTATAGACCAAGTTTAGTACTCATTACAAATACTTTTTTCAATCAAATACAGATCCAGCAAGACCAGCACCTGGATTCTCGACATTGATTTACTCTTATCCAAGATCTATATCATTAAAAAATAGAAACAAAGCATTAAATTTTAGGTAACAAATAAATGGAAAATGTCAGATTAATACTCTTCTATTTCTTCATAAGTCTTCTGCTTCATGTGGGAGGTAAAGTCTTTCCAATCAAAATCACCAACCCCAAACCTGTAATTGAATCACTAAATGAGATAAACAACAGATATTTTCATGCAAAACCCTTTCTCCAATGCATAAGGTTAATAAAGAGACTAGAAAAAAACATAAACCAACAATCAGGATATAACCTCATCAAAAGTTGAACAAAAGCAGTCCTTTGACTTTGATTAAAACCAAGTACTTTCAGAGATTTTCCTTCACCTTCCATTAAAGGAAGTGGCTCCATGCTATCTGCTGCAAATGTGTAAAGGAAATTTAATATCACAGTCAATGACAGATAATTGAAGTCCATCACTAGTATTAATAAATATTCAAAAAGTAAATACTGATATGTACCGCGAGCTTTCTTTTTGTGAGACCTTCTAGTAGTAGTAGTAGTAGCTTCACTTGAATTTGAATCATCATCAGTAACATCCGCTTTGTAATTCTCATCTTCACCGTCAGAGCTTACATCTTCCAAACCACTAAAACCACCCCCCTTAAAAGAAATCATCAGGAAAGTCAGGGAATTGCAGATATATGTCGATCTATATTTAGATAAATAATTCTCACAGAAAATAAAAAGGAGTGAGATCCATAACATCATAATAAGATAGAAACCAACATTAGAACACAAAAGGAAAATGTATTAGAACAGTTGAATGTATAGAAGGATAGAATTCAGAGAATTTCAGTAAAATGTATTATTAATGAAAATCAAGAGTAAGTAGTATCCGTGAGGTACCAGCTACATATATATAGAACAAGTCTGAGTGAAGTAGATAACAATCCTAACAAACTAACCAACTTAATGAGTTGGCAAATCTTAACAGAAAACTTACTATATTAGACTTAATCAATACAGCCGATAATAAAAGTATTTATTATCCTATTCTCTAATACACCTCCCACAAGCTCTAGGGGGATGGAACATAGTAGATGGGTCAACCACATTGAGCTTGGATCGTAGAAACAAAAATCTTTTTGGTGACAGAGTCTTGGTCAGAACATCTGCATATTGATGTTAAGCAGGATATGTGAAACAACAAGACCTCGAGTACTTTTTCTCGAACAAAAAAGATGTCTAGTTCCATATGCTTAGACCTCGAGTGTAAAACTGGATTGTGAGACAAGGCTATTGTGCTCTGATTATCACAGAGCATTATAGGAGTGTTAAGTTTAACTTGCAATTCCTTTAGAAGTGATTGAATCCACAAAACCTCTGTTACAGCTTAAGCTAAAGCTCTATATTCAGCATCAGTACTTGACCTTACAACAAGCAACTACTTCTTGGACCACCAAGATACCAAGTTAGGACCAAGATAAATACAGGCTACTTAAGTAGACTTCCTATAATTAGGATAGGCTGCCCAATCAGTATCAATAAAGGCAGTAAGATTGAAGGAAGTAGTAGAACTAGTAGGTGCAAACATCAGTCCATGTCCAATAGTCCCTTTGAGATACCTAAGTATCCTTTTAACAACTTTCCAATGCTCCTCCATTGGAGAACACATAAATTGACTCACCTTATTGACACTAAAGGTAATCTCTGGCCGTGTAATTGTGGCATATTGCAAAGCACCAACTACTGACCTATATAAAGTTGGATCATCAAACAAGGTACCCTCCTTAGCAAGCTGCTGACCACCAACCATAGGAGTAGACATTCCCTTAGAGTCTTCCATTTTTAACTTAGTAAGAAGATCAGCAATATACTTATCTTGAGACAATAATAACCTCCCTTTAGAAAGAGATTTGACTTCAATACCCAAGAAGTAATCTAAGGTACCAAGATCTTTAAGAGAAAAAATTTCATTGAACTGATCAATTATTTTTTGCAATAAGGAGGGAGAATTTCCAGTGAGGATAATGTCATCCACATAGACAAGCATATAGACAGTAGTTGTTGAAACAAAGAAAATAAACAGACTAGAATCAATTTGCTTTTGTTGAACCCAAGCATGAGTAAGATAGATGTTAATCTTTCAAACCAAGCTCGAGGGGCCTGCTTTAGGCCATAAAGAGATTTTTGCAGTTTGCAAACAAGATGTTTGGTTCCAGCCTCTAGGTTCAATAAAGCCAAGAGGTTGAGACATATAGATGTCCTCCTCGAGCATTCCATTAAGGAACGCATTGTTGATGTCAAGCTGTCGAAGAGGCCACTGAAAAGAGACTGCAAGAGAAAGAACAATCCTGATTGTCACGCATTTGACTACTGGAGAGAAGGTTTCAAAAAAATCAAGGCCAAGTTTTTGATGAAAGCTCTTGGCAACAAGTCTGACCTTGTATTTATTAATTGAACCATCAGGATTTTCTTTAATTTTGAAAACCCATCTACATCCAATGGGTTTTCTGCCAGAAGGTAATTCAACTAGTCTCCATGTACTATTGTCATGTAAAGCTTTGATTTCAGCTTGCATGGCAGCAAACCAATTAGGGTCAGTGAGAGCAACTTTAATTGTCTTTGGTTCAATGTTGGAAAGCAAGAGTGTAGGATTGATTCTTGGTTTGATAATTCCATTTTTGGATCGAGTAGTCATGGGATGAACATTAAGAGGTCTGGCAGAGGATAGAACCTAAGGGGATACAGTTGCAATAGGAGATAGGTGCTGAGAAACAGGGAGCTGAGATGAAACTAGAGGAGCAACAAGTGTGTCAACAGATGCAGGAGCAATGCCAGATGATGTAGAGGTTGAAGATGCAGGTGCAGAAGCAGAGTTGAGAGAATTGGGTTCTAAGGAGCTTGAGTTGGAGGAAATTCTAGGTTGAATTGGTGCAGGGAAGATGGATTGTGAGAACAAACAAGAGAGGAAATTGTAGACACTGAAGTTGTAGAGAAGAAATTGATTTTGTGAGGAAAAGATCATTATAGGGAAATCTGCCTTCATTGAATACAACATCTTTGCTGATATAAATTCTTCCGAATTTACTTAAACATTTATAACCTTTATGGCTAGGAGAGTATCCCAAAAATACACACTCCTCGGATCTGGGTTGGATTTTGTGTTGATTGTAAGGTCTAAGTAGTGGAAAACAGGAACAGCCAAAGATCTTTAGAAACTTATAATCAGGATCCTTATTGTGGATCAGCTTGTAGGATGGTTGATAACCAACTGATGAAGAGGTTAACGTATTGATTAGATAGGTGGTAGTCAAGAAGGCATGATCCCAAAATTTCAATGGTAATGAAGCATGATATATCATGGCTAAACCAAGCTCAACCACATGTCTGTGTCTCCTTTCAACCATGCCATTTTGATGATGAGCATAGGGACAGGTAAGTCTGTGAATAATACCATGTTGTTGTAGAAAGGAAGTTAAAGAACGAAATTCACCACCACCATCAGTTTAAACTGATTTTAGAGGAATATGAAATTATTTTTCTGCTAGAGCTTTAAAATTTAGAAAATGAGAAAATACATATAATTTTCTGCAAAGAAGATAAATCCACATATATCAAGTACATGCATCAACACACATTAAGAAGTACAAATAACCACAACTAGATTCTAATGATGTAGGTCCCCAGACATCTAGAAAAACGAGTTCAAATGGTTTAGAATAAACTGTAGTTGAAGGTAGAGAAGGAATTCTATGAGATTTTGCAATACAAGACTCATAATAATCAGAAATTTTATTAACCGTGGGAATATGAATATTACAAATTTTTAAGGCTTTAGTTAGAGCATCATGATGTGGATGCCCTAACCGCAAATGCCATTGTTTGTAGGTACTAGGAACAGTATTTGTACATTTTTCAGAAAGAAAAATACACAGTTCAAATGAAATTGAAACTGAATTCTTCTTGATGTTAGCTTTGATTGATTCATTCTTTGCTAAAGATGAATGAAAACGATAGAGACCATCTTCACCAAGTTTTCCTTCAAGAAGAGTCTCGTTCAAATCCTGTGATTTGACAAAATAAGAATAAGGATAGAATACAAAGTAGACATTATTGTCTCTAGCGAACTTAGAAACACTGATTAAATTTTTGGTTAAGGTGGGGACAAGTAAGAGATCCTTTAGGGACAGATCAGTGGAAGAATGAATAGGGGACCTAAACATATTAGAACCAATTGAGGCAATAGATGTACCTTGGCCATTGGCCATGACAATGTGCTCAGCTCCTGTAAATTGAGCACTCTACAAAAGATGTTGTGGATCAAGAGTAGCATGGTGGGAAGCACCAAATCAGGAATCCATGTTGTAGCAGTGTTTAAAGTTGGAGCAGAACATTAAGCAGAAGATGCAGCACCCGAATGAGCTTGCTGGTTAGAGGATGATGCTGGAAATGTGAACCCAGGTGGTGTAAAGCCAGGACTAGGGAAAGTGAATCCAAAGGAACCACCCAATGCATAAGTAGGCCACTGTGTTGGGCCTAAGAGTCCAAGCATGTTGGCAGATCCATAATAAGGAATAGCTCCGGTGGTAGGAAGAAAAGCTGAGCCAAGTCCAAGATTCTGAGACCTATAACCATTCTGAGACCCAAGACCAAAGGTGGGGTAAGGAGAAAACGTTGGGCCAAAAGGTAGCCCAAAACCACCAAGAGACAATCCACTTGTGCGTTGATAACACGTGGAGGCCTCGTGCCCGGATTTGACATATTTGGCATTGAACATGAGGACCACAATTTCTGCCCCCACGTGCACCACCACGACCACGTCCTCCATCATGATTCTGATAAGAAAAACCACTGAACCCACCTTGAGATTCAAACGAAGAATTCTGAAACATATTTGGCTGAGAATTTGGCATTTGTGGCTACTGAAATTCCAAATTCACATTCGGAGCTCCATTTGCAGCTGGAGCAGTTTGGGCAAGATTAATTGTTAAGGGTTCTTGAATCACTGTTGCCTTTGCTTGTTCCAGTCTCGCTTCTTGAGGAAGAATCATGGTTTCAAGTTCTTCGAGAGAGAGAACCTCATGGCAACTGACAAAGGCAGTGATTGTAGAGATCAATGAGTCGTATTCAGGTGGGAGACCTCCAATGATACATTCAGCATGTTCGCGGGTTGATACAGGACTTCCAATCGAACAAGAGTTTTAATGATAGTACTGATGCGAAGCAAGTATTCAGAACAAGTTCTTGTACCTTTCTTTATAGTGCAGAGTTCAAGTCAAAGCTATGTCGCCTTAATTTTGGTGAGAGAATTAAAGTGTTGAAACACCATATCTCAGATCTGATACAAGTGACGACAGGAGACAATGCCTGCCTGAATCGATTCAAAAAGTGTAGTCAAGAGCCACAAAAAAAAGGAGTGAGTCCTTGCAATCCCATGTAGCATACTCAGGGTTGACGTTAAAGCTGTCAAAATGGGTTAGTCCGGCCATGTGGGTCGGCCCACCTTGACCCACTTTAAAAACGAGCCAACCCAACTTGGCCCACTTTTGATTTTCTCAAAATTTTTCTGGCCTGGCCTGGCCCGGCCCACCACAAGTTGGTGGGTTATACGGGCCAACCCACCAAAAATTCAAAAATTTAAATTAATTATAAATTAACATAATAGTCATAAAATTAACATCATTAATAGCCATAAGTCATAACTCATCATACAAAATTAAATACAAATCATCATAAAAGTCCAAAATAAAAATTTTCAATATCCCATCATACAAAATTAACAACAAATCATAATTAAATTTCTATTACAAAAAATAATTGGTGGGCTGGTGGGTTGCTCGACCCACCACGGGTTTAGCCCGGGTGGGCTGGGTGAAAGTGGGCCGGGTTTATATATATCCACCTACTATAAAACTTCCAATTTTTTTGGCCCGGCTCAGCCCGTTTTCAAGGTGGGTCGGGTTGGGCCACAGGCCACAGCCCATTTTGACAGCTCTAGTTGACGTTATTGGCATCGTGATCCTCATCGGTAAGGTAATTCATCAAAATCTTTGGATTGACAACAAATCTCTCAAGATCATGTGCACGAATTACAGTTGTGACTTGTTGCTGCCAGGTAACGAAATTTTTCCCATCATGTTTGCATGTGACAATTTGTGAGAAGGTGTTTGAAACACTTGAGGAAGTTTGATTAGAATTTTCAGGTGTGCAAGCCATTAGAGCAAGATTGGAAGCAGAAACAAAGAGAAATTTACAAGAAAATTTTCAAGAATCGAAAAAGGAGTGGGACAAAACAAAGTCTCAACAGAGAGCGCAAGAAGATTGCGATCAGGAACAGGGACGAATAATGTCGTGCAACCAAAAGACGCAACGGAAGATGATGCAGAACCAAAGCCGAAAAGAACACGATTCCCAGATCTCAATGTGCTCACGATGATACCATATAGAAGGATAAAGTTTAGAGAAATTCAGTAAAATGTATTATTAATGAAAATCAAGAGTAAGTAGTATCCGTGAGGTACCAACTACATATATAGAGAACAAGTCTGAGCAAAGTAGATAACAATCCTAACTAACTAACCAACTTAATGAGTTGGCAAATCTTAACAGAAAACTTACTATATTAGACTTAATCAATACAGTTGATAATAAAAGTATTTATTGTCCTATTCTCTAATCGAATGTAATCATACATTAACTCATTAAAAAAAGACAAAAAAAATAAACAAATTTTCTCGTAAATTAATACTTGTAAGCAGCATAAACACCTGCATAACATACCAGCCATTTGTTGCGGTTTCGCTTCCCTTTGCCCAAGGCATTTAACTCTTCAACTTGATGCTCTTCATACCTGTCTTTTAACAACTCTTCCCAGTAATTTGTTCTTTTGGAACTGGTCTCAGAGGATTGATTCTCCTTTGCTATATTTTGTGCTACCTCCTCTGCTGGCTCAACTTCCTCGATGTATTCAAAATTTGCCACCTAGAACATATAACAATCCATTTAGTCAATGAAAAGCAAAGAACCTGAAAGAATGGGAACAAAGATATTTTGAGCATTATTTGCTATTTTTTTAAAAGCACAATTGTTGTTGATAGATAAATGGTTCTAGGAAAGTAATAGAGGCTGAAAGCTCCTCCAACAAAAACTACTGCCACTTTACTATTCACATAACTTTTTCCTGGGCCCTGAAGTATGTAGTAGTACCATCAAGAACAATTTTGCTTTTGTAGAAACCATTCAAAGAAAATTGCACTTATGAATTTGGCACTATTTGAGTTTCAAAAGACCACCATAAAAAGTACTAGGAATGTGATGAGTTCATTTTTGCACTTGAGTGTTATCAATTAGCTAAATTTCCAATATTGAACATTTTTATTTAGCATATTTTCAACTTATTATTGCACATAGTTCAAGGCAGAGAAAATTTTCATTTCACAAATATAATGAAGGAAAAAAACTATCAATTTAAGCATAAAAAATTGTTTGCAAGATTACAAAAAGAAACATTTTGTTTCCAAGTAGTTCTGTGCCCTAATTCAGCAGTCATGCCAAAAAGAACATATTGCAATAAAAGCATTACAAAAACTAAAGGGGAACAAATTTAAAAGAAAAGAGGACCAAGGTAAATTGGCACCAAAGAGATCATCAAAACTTCTTAGGAATGCATAGACCACTAAAATTTCTTTTGGATAAGTTATGTGTATCCATGTGTGTCTTAATATGTCTATATACATTTATTACCTTAAAATGACAAATGATTGGACAGAAAACAATAACACCTCAAATGACCAATAACCAAAGAATGCATATGCAAGAATGCAAGTAAGATAGAAAGAAAAAAAAATGGGAGGACCAAAGTATAAGAATGCATATGCAAAGATTATATGATAGAGTCAACCTTAAAGGCCTTCAGAAATCCATCTTCATCTTCCCCATCCAAAGCAGCCTCTTCATCTCCAACTTGATTGCGATCCAACAATCTATTACGAACAAAAACTCATGAAATAAAATTCTTAGGTTTAGTAATATTTACTTGAGGAATGCAAGTTCTTGATTACCTGTCTATAGCATCATCATCATAATGAATTTGACGAGATTTGCCCACCTCATCATTCTCATCAGCAAATAACTCCTTTGAGCCATACCTTACAATATCATCTAACTCTTCCTAACCACAATTGTCAAATTTACACAGAAATCTTCATAAATACTAATTTTTAATTGGATATAGTTCATATCATTATTAAGGAATTCAAATATCCTAATCAACATTTTCTGTTGGTATTTTATATATATATAAAAGTATAATATGTTTAACATAATGTTATGCATATCTCATACTCAAAATCAAACAGACATAAAGATGGTAACGACACCCATATTTCCGGTCCAAACATATTGGTTAACAATACCTACAAATTACCCAATATTGTAAAAAGATAAAATAAACAAGATAGTAAATAGTAATTGTGAGGATGACAATAAATGACCATACATGATTATTCATTTGACAAAAGAAGAGATTTCTGATAATCCTAAGATAGACGACCAGATGCCATACTACTATTTGACATCCATTGCCATACAGTTTCCACAATCTTAGTCAATAATCAATATCATTACTTTTTACTTGAAAAAAGCACAAGATGTAAGATAACAACTAATTAATCTGAATTACATACATGTGACCTTGGCAATGAGACTGAAAAATGTTGTTATCAATCTTGACAACATAGGGCATCATTTACCTGGTTAATGTTTTGAGCCTTTAGCCTCCCTACAACCAGGTGTTCTAAAACCATTTTCTTCTTTGTCATCTGAATCATCCTTTCTTCAATTGTTCCCCTTGTTATAAGCCTATAAATCATCACCTACAATACAATACAAGAACTACTGTGATATCTCAAGTCAACAATAATCAACTACATACTGATGAAGAACAAATCCCAACCTTGTTAGTTTGTCCAAGTCGATGAGCTCTGGCCATAGCTTGTAAATCAGCATGAGGATTCCAATCACTAGTGACAATTCAATCAAAAAATTAAAGTGAAAAATTATTGAAATTCAATATTACAAAAAATGATGGGAAAATTAATGATACCACATATGATATAAGCTAGGTGGCTATAACAGAGAAAGACATTGGGGGTAATCTGTGACAACAAAGTATCTACCAACTTCAAAGTTAAATTTTGTCATAGGACTACAGAACCAACTATACTCTATGGCAGTGAATGTTGAATTTTAAAGGGACAGCAAAAGAAAAAAGTGGAAGTAACAAAAATGAGAGTATTTATTAGGACGTGTGGCACCACAACAAAGGAAAAGATACAAAAGGATTGCATATAAGAAAATATTGGTATGACACTTATCAAGGATATGAAAAAAAATCATTTAAAATGGTTTGCACATATGCAGAAAAGGGCATTGGAGGGACTAGTAAGGAAAGTAGATCATATGATCTTTAACCATGCAAGAAAGGCTAGAGGAAATCCAAGACGATCAAAGAAATTATTGAAAAGGATTGCATGGTAAATAAGGTTCATACAAATTTGGTTTTTGACAATAGCACGGTGTGATCCATGTAGCCAACTACACTTTGTCGGATAAGGCTATTGTTATTGTTAAGATATTGTGAAAATTTATTAGGATTAATCATATCATGTCATATAAATCCTTATTTTTCATTATAAATAAGAGTTATTTATGCTAAAAATTGACACACAATTCCTAAATCACAACTTGATATCTAGAACTTAGAATTTTTTTCACTACGTGAACAATACCTAGCTATCCCTCAACGACTACTTCTAATGATCCTATTTGGCCTCTACTTGGCCCTGTTTGGTTCCGGTCCCTCTCTACCTCATCTCCCATGGTTGCTCCCACTTCCACTTTGTCCATGGCGTTTACCAACATGCTTCTATCCACAACTTCAATTATACCTTGTTTTAGCTGATGTCTCTTTCTTTGAGTCCTCTTCTTTCTTCTCTGAGGATGCTATCAATCATCCTCCTCTGCATGCTCAACCTAATGTTCCAACTCCAACTACAGTCATTAATCGACCACCATTACTTGTTTATCAACAAAGGACACGACATCCACAAGTGGTTCCACATACACATCTTCCAGCATCATCTCTTGTTCCAAACAACTATTCGACAACGCTCCCTACACCTGAATCTCCTTTACCCGAGTTTCTCATTACCATCCACAGCGGTATTCGATCTACTCATAATCCTAACCCTTTATATGCATGCACTATTTCATGTCATCAATTGTCTCCTTCCTATTTTTCTTTTATTTCATTTTTGGATTTTGTTATTATTCCTAGGTCTACAGGTGAAGTTATGGCCGATTCTAGGTAGAGACAAGCAATGTTGGATGAAACAAATTCTTTACATACTAGTGGCACATAGGAGTTGGTGCCTTTGTCTCTTGACAAGTCTACAATTGGTTGTCGATGGGTGTACACGATAAAGGTTGCACCGGATGATAGTATTGACTGCTTTAAAGCACGATTGGTTGCCAATGGCTATACTCAGATCTATGGCCTTGATTATGAGGATGCTTTCTCTCTAATAGCCAAGATGACTTTTGTTTGTTTGGTTCTTTCTATGGCTGTCATTCATCATTGGCCATTGCAATTTCTTCCTCCCTTATTCCAGCCCTCATCAAATAAAGCTCCATTTTCTATCTATATTCTTTCACACTCATGTTCTTTTGTTGGAGTCTTTGGAGCTTATCCATAAGCTCCCTACTATAATAAGAAGGAATATGTCTTCTTCTCATAGCACTCCTTTTATGATGTCTTAGCAGCACCACTCCATGACACTTCACACGATAATATTTCATACAACTCCTTGTTGGTCAGAACCCTCCATGGGTAGTCCTTTATGAGATGTTTAACCACTTCAAGGATCAATGATTGACCCCACAAACCAATACAAGACTTTTCAATGTACTTTATTCTCACTCACACTTTTTGGGAGACTTCCCAAAATGTCACTTATCCCTAATTTACTCCAAGCCAAACACTTAATTAGATAGTTCTTATGTGATGAGCTACCAAAAAGTAGATGCATCTTTTTGATATAGGTAATACAAATTAATTCCTTTAAGATATTAGTCTCATACTCGTACAATCTCTGGATTCTTCTTATTCCAATGTGTCCAAGCTATTACAACCACAAAGACGGAATCTATTCGCCTTTTTGATTCTAGGGAGACTAAGGACAAAATACATACTAACGTCTATTCAAGGGGGTTCTGTAATGGTTAAAGGTGTGTATAGTTCATGAGACATTACTTTAGACTTTTTTTGTAAATAAATTATACATTTAGAGAAAAACCTTTGGACATCTTTTCTCATACTAGGCAAAAAAAAAATAGTTTTTTTCAAATAGTGAAAGTTTTTTCATGTCCAAAATGTCCCACAAGCCCACCTTCATGGATTTCTTTAGTTAAGAGTTTTTTGATGGATCAATAGGGTATAGAAAGTTTTCCTTCTCCAAACAAATACTTTGTAAAAAGATAGGACCCATCTTTGGCCTTATGGCCACATGCTTCAAAAATAATTTTGAAATATGGGTCTTGTTCATACAATTCCTTTATGTCATCAATCCAAGAATTTGAGGTCCTAGGGTGGAAAGTATTGTGTGCCTTTTACATAAGGCATCCACAACCACAATAGTTTTTCCCTTGTTATATTTGATAACATGAAGATATTGTTCAAGAATTTCTACACATTTAGAATGCCTTTTATTTAATTTTTATTGTCCTCGCAAATACTTAAGAGATTCATGATCACTATGTATGACAAACTCGTTAGTAATAAGATAATGCTTCCAAGTTTGGAGGGTTCAGATCAAGGCATATAACATTTTATCATAGGTGGGGTAGTTAAGGGAGGTACCATGAAGCTTCTCACTGAAGTATACAATAAGGTGCCCACTGTGCTACAACACAACTCCCACACCTACTTTGATGCACCATATTCTAGTTCAAAGGTTTTAGAAAAATCAGGTAAAGCTACAATAGGTGCATTAGATAGTTTATCCTTTGACTTGGAAAGTCTTCTCTTTCTTCTCACCCCAAATAAATGGTACATTTTTCTTAACCAACTCATTGAGAGGTGAAACTAGTATGGAGAAGTCTTGTACAAAATTCCTATAGAAGCTTGCTAAATCATGAAAGCTCTTAATGTCTCCAATACTCTTTGGAGTGGGCCACTCTTGGATGAACTTTATTTTATTGGGGGCACATGAATCCTATTAGCTCCAACAACTAAACTTATGAAAATTACATTATTCCAAATAGTTGATTATCCCTAAGAATGGAAATAAATTTCCTTAAATGTCCTAGATGATCACTTAGGATTCTACTATATACTAAAATATCATTAAAATAACCAACTACAACCTACCTATTTAATCCCTAAGTACATGGTTCATAACTTTCCTTGAAGATCACCAACATTGGGCGCCACTCCTATTACACCTAGCGTCATTTTGACATAAAGCATTAGCCACTCTAGCATTGGGTGCCACTCTACCAACGATAAGGGTGAGAGCTAGCTTGTTAACCAACATTGTACTACAATAATTGTAACAGGATCCACTATCAACAATGAGAGAACAAGATCTTTTGGAAACTAAACATCTTGTATGAAAGATGTTCTCTCTTTGTGATAAAGTAGTGGGACAAGATTATTTAAAACTTTGCATCTTGTGTGAAAAATGTTCTCCCTTTATGAAATGTGTTGATCACTAGGTTGACTTCCTAGAAGTCTCTTAATTAAAAGTAATTGACCATCATAAGGATAAGCATTTTCAATTTCATGGTCTTCATCACTAGATTCACTTTCACTAGAAGTAGTGGAACTAGATTCTTCATGACTATTATAAATGTCTTGTCCTCATGAAATCATCACCTTTTTATTAGGACATTGTGAGGCTATATGTTCTCTTCCAAGACATGTAACGCATTTGATGTCACTGATTTTTTTATTTGAAGTGGAAGTATTTTCCCTTTTTTCTTTTTCTTTTTCTTTTGCAAGATTCTTGGAGGATTCCATTTCATTGTTATACTTTGAAAAATTACCATCCCTGGAGGATTCTCTTTCTTGAAAGAATTTTCCCTCAAATGTTGTTGTTCTACCCTTATACAAAGTTGGACCAAAACATCAAGGTCCCTATAAAGGAGTAACTTAACCCTATCTCTTATGTCAAAATTAAGATCACTTAAGAATCTTGCTATGGTCAATCTTTCTTCCTCCCTTATTCCAGCCCTCATCAAATAAAGCTCCATTTTCTATCTATATTCTTTCACACTCATGTTCTTTTGTTGGAGTCTTTGGAGCTTATCCATAAGCTCCCTACTATAATAAGAAGGAATATGTCTTCTTCTCATAGCACTCCTTAAGTCATTTCAATATTGTATGGGTGGGTCATTGTGAAGCCTTCTTTCCCTAACTAGAGTTGTCTATCAATACATAACTTGTCCTTGGAAAGCTAAGGTGTTGGAATAGACTTGGTGAAGTGATTGTTGTTCTTCCTCAAGCTCAATCCATACGTCTAATCTAGCTTAGAGGTTTTCTAATGGTGAAAATGGCAGAAGCAAAGCAAGCTCCAAAGCTTGTTAGAAATCACTCTTGTGGTTCGGTTCTTCTTGAAGGAGAAGAAGAAGTGAGAAATCAAGGCACAAAGGAGAAAGTCCTCTGTGAAGGTTCCTAAGGGAGAGAGTTTCTCCATGGTTTTAAGCTCTTGGAAGAGATAATTTTGAGAGAAAATTCTGATTCATAACATCCAAAAGTATGTACAAATGATAGGTTTAGGAATTTATAGAAGTAGGTAGCTTGTGGAGCAAGCTAAGCTTAACCATAGTTCAAGTAAACCATGGTTGGCTTAGCTTGACCGTCCATCTTAGTTTAGGAGGCTTGTGGAGCAAGCTTCTATCTTAGCACTACAAGAAAATTCGTTATTACACACGGCCAAAATCCATGGGAAATGCCAAAAATTCGTGGGTAATAGTGCATTTCCGACGGATTTTCCCACGGATTTACCCACGGATATATCCGTGGGAAATTTCCCACGGATTTATCTGTGGAAAATTACTCTGAAGGATTTTTTCGTCGAAAATTATAATTTTTTTTTATTTTAATAAATTTATTAATGTAACAACCCTCATATTTGACCTCTCAAGGGTTCTATTTCACGATATTTCATTGTTTAGCGTGTTTTATCCTTACTTGTGCAATTTCTTGAAAACTTCCCAGAAGGTCACCCATCCCAGTACTACTCCAACTCAAGCACGCTTAACTGTGAAGTTCTGATGAGTAAGCTACCGAAATGTATATGTATGTTGTCAGTATAACTTGTACAAATTAATTCATTTAAGTCATCCTCAAATATACAATCTCATATTTGTACTATAATAATAATATATAATAATTTTATATTACGAATAATAATAATAATAATAATAATA